TTTGATAGACTTGACCATAATCTGATACTGCAAAAACTGTCGAATTTCGGGTTATCAACTAACCTACTTGCATTATTCAAATCATATCTGTCCAATCGCACACAGTATGTACAGTTAAATGGATTCAGGTCTAAGAACTACTTGACCAAATCAGGTGTACCACAAGGATCTAACCTCGGCCCACTATTGTTCAACATCTTCATCAATGACATTGGTGACATAATTGAACTGAATTTTTTATTGTATGCTGATGATCTAAAAATTTTCTCCCCAATCAATAATATGAATGACTGTGAGAAACTATCGGACAATCTTAATCAGATCAGCCAATGGTGTAGTCGTAATAATCTAGCGTTGAATCCTGCCAAGTGTTGCGTAATGTCGTATACACTAAGATCTGATCCAGTTCTATTTGACTATAAGATAGACAATCATTCTCTAGACAGACCATCTAATTTTAAGGATCTTGGAGTTACCTTCGACCGAGAGCTGTCTTTCCAAAACCATGTAGAAAATATAAGTACGTCAGCAAGCCGTATGTACGGATTTCTAATTAGAGTAGGCAACGACTTTAATCATGTGACACTCAAAACTCTTTACTATGCTTTTGTCAGATCGAAGCTAGAATATGCGTCAGTTATCTGGAACCCATATTATCAAGTGCATGTCTATAAACTGGAGGCAATCCAAAGACGCTTTCTCAAATACTTAAGTTTTAAAGCAGATCGGACTTATCCACCAATTGGCACGTCACACGAGAGTTTACTGTCATGACATATAGCTTTTTCAGCCTGGATCAAAGACGGAAATGTTCTGGTGTCATTACGCTACATAAAATAATTAACAATAAAATTAGATGTCAATGCTTACTACATCAGATAAACTTCAAAATTCCCCGTCAGGCATCTCGATGCACCGACTCATTCTACATTACCACGCCACGAACAAATATATACAAAAACTCTCCTGTACATACTATGTGTAGCAACTATAACCTAATAAGTAACCAGCTTGATATATTTCATTGTAATGTGAGGCAAATCAAAAACTATTTTTATCAGCAGTAATATTCTTGTATTAATCTCTTACTTTTTACTAATGTAGTCCTATTGTGTAAATTGTGTATTATGCCAAGTTTTTTCTATTGTTTCTTTCTATTGTTTGTTTTCTATTGTTTACTTTTGTGCAAATTTTTACTTAGTTCCTGTTCTGTAATTGGAAAACTTTTTTCTGTAGAACAGTGTAAATAAATAAATAAATAAATAAATAAATAAATAATCCTAATCTCCGACCCCGAAAACCCCCAGATACCAGTTTGAATAGAATCGGATCATTGTTACAAAACCGCCATGTTGGAGCCGCCATTTCGTTTTATTGTCTAGCAACAATTTCATGATGCATTGCCACCCGAACCAACCTGCCAAATTTCAAATCAATCGGTCCGTTCAAATTGGGTCAAAATTGGGACCAAAGGAGTCGGTTAAATACATACATACAGGGTGTTTAAAAGGTGTTCTTTTTATTTATTACATCCTGAATCCAATGTCGGTGCAGATTCTCTAACCAATCTCTTCAACGTATTTTTCGCGAAGACTAAATGAATATTGATGAATATCTCAACAAAAGTGTGTGTATATTTTTCGAATACTTTCACACGAAGGGACCATAATTCTAAGAATTCTAAACAGAAGACAATGCAGACAGCTTCCAATCCAACCGTGACCCTATTACGAGGGAGAATTTGCATAAATTAATGACATAAACCGCATATCGTTAGCTATATCATCAACCTATATCGATTTTTTTCATCGACTGAATTCAAAATGTGACCTCAAAAACGTCATTGCAACTATACGTGCCCGATTTACAATTATCTCGTGACTTTCAAGGAAAATTCGATAGGCCAATGGTGAAACTGGAACTTCAAATAAACTGATGGACAGGTGTGGTGGTCCACCTAAAATGTAGATCCTGTTTCATAATCAAATATTTTGAAAAAATTTTAGGTCTCTATATTGACGAAAGATTATTGTGGACTAAACATATAGACCATTTGAGAAATAAAATAAATCCAATCATATGCATTCAAAGTCCGAAATTGTATTGCTTTAAAATACTTGGAATGCATTTACTTTTGCCTCATTTATTCAAATTTGCAAATTCACGTCTGAAACCACTAATGAAATTACAAAACAAATCAATTAAGTGCATTTTTCAATTAAGTGCATTTTTCATTTACTTTTTCAAGAACCAACGATAAAATTATCGAAACCTAGACATTTGCTGAACCTGTCAATATAGCCCATAATTATGGGACTAGACAATTAAATTACTTGATAGCAAATACATTTAGATCAAACATTGGTAAACAATCTGTTTTTCACAATGGAATAATTTTATACAATTCATTACCAGATGAGTTGAAAAATATGCATAATGCAATAAGGTTTAAAATCAATCTTGAAAAATACTTACTCAGGACAATTTGAATAAAAAATATGTGGCATGATTGATTACTCAGAAATGAAATATAACTTTAATCTCAAGACATTCGACAAATTTGTATTCTTTAATTGCGTTTTTTTATTATTCTATCATCCAAACCATTTATTGCCTCAATTTCGGAAATACCCTGTATATTCGTTTGGAATTGATTTACGTAATCAGACCATCGAACCACATTCATTTGATGATAAATATGAAGATTAACAAAGGTATCGGACCATATGTTTCGACTTATTAAGTATAATATTTATAAATTAACTCTGGATTTGTTTGATTTCGTTTACAGACGTCACACACCATAGGTATTATATATTTGATTATTTTGGGATGGTCTTGACGTAACACCTTCATAAATAAATCGTTTTCAAGACATTCATTTACACAAAAATAATATACAGAGAGTGTTTGTATCCAAGAAAATAGTGGTTGAAAAAGTTAAACAAATGTCCTCTATTTTTTTTGGTGGATTCTGGTGACGGAACAATTTCAAATTTTGGTGGCGGAACACCATATTCACCAATTTATTCGAGAGAGAAAAATACGCTCATCCTGATGATCCTGATCAGGGTAATGGCAACAAGACTATCAAATTATGATAGAGTCCGACCACGTCAACTTTGGGACAGCATGTGACGCAACGCATATGCATATTCAATGCATACGCGACCACGTGCTGTCCCAAAGTTATCGTGGTCGGACTCTACTATTGAAAAGGAATATTCTTAGATAAACTATGAACATGAAAAAATGGATATAAAGGAATACATCGAGAATTCGCATTCTCTATGTGATGAAAATATCAATTCTTTCTCGGTTTAATCAACAGAAAACAACTACTTTTCTGGGTATATCCCACGACGAACAATGAATTATATCTATTGAACACACACAAAAAGAAAACAGTCTTCTGAAGTTGAGAATTTGCATTCTCCTTCAGATAAACATATGTATATGCACATAATATTCAACAGAAAACAACTACTTTCCTGGCTATTTGCCACGTCGAACATTGAATTATATCTGTTGAACATCCAACAGGAGAGCTTAAAAAATAAAAATCCTCTGGAATTGAGAATTGACATTCTCTCTCAAATCTGATGAATGATATGACAACCTACTAATTTCCAGTGTTGCCAATATACAATTTTCACGCTCACACGTTGGAATACTGGAAACAAGGACAGATGGGGAAGACATATTTTTTCTCTCTCAACGCTAGATGAACTGCTCCATTCAATTCGATGTTTTGAGGATTCCATTACATGCAGACATATGTACATACCAAGCTCATAAAAACGTGATAATAAAAAGTGTGGTAACAGAAAACGAATTTGATGATGGCCACGTTTATACCGTATGGATAGTTGCTTACCAAGGAGGTCTAACTAAATTCAGTCCCAATGCCTCAGTTAACGCATGTTTTCACCATGTATCTTCAGTTGACTAACGTTACCAACTTTCTTTTGATTTGATTATTTATTTGAGGTTAGGTTCTGGAACTCTACTTGAATTCGTAAATAAAGAATAAAACCTTCTAGTAGTATACGAAATTAACTGAAATTGAATAAAATATTATCATGAGAACTCATGAAATAACTGATACTTGCACTCAAGTCAATTCAAGGCTATACAAATGTAGACCAAAATGTTTACACCGTCTTGGTCATCATACCACGCAAGAAATTCCGGTACCAAACCAAGCTGGTAACTTTACCAAGTATACAGTTTATACCAAACTGACCAAGAGTATTTTGTCGAAATATAGTCATTAGTCAGCTTACTAAGACACAACTGATACTTGCACTCAAGTCAATTCAAGGCTATACAAAAGTAGACCAAAATGTTTACACCGTCTTGGTCATCATACTACGCAACAAATTCCGGTACCAAACCAAGCTGGTAACTTTACCAAGTATACAGTTTATACCAAATTGACCAAGAGTATTTAGTCGAAATATAGTCATTAGTCAGCTTACTAAGGCACAACTGATACTTGCACTCAAGTCAATTCAAGGCTATACAAAAGTAGACCAAAATGTTTACACCGTCTTGGTCAGCATACTACGCAACAAATTCCGGTACCAAACCAAGCTGGTAACTTTACCAAGTATACAGTTTATACCAAACTGGCCAAGAGTATTTAGTCGAAATATAGTCATTAGTCAGCTTACTAAGACACGGCATGAATGTGGAGCCAGTAAATAATAATAATAATAATAATAAATGCTTTTATTGTCTCAATGAAACAAAAGGCAGAGTTCAACTCGCCGATAAATCGACAGCTGCTCTTCCACTCAACCCTAAATGCAGTGAGTCTGAGATCAATTAGAAAAATGATTGGATTCTGAATAGAGTTCGAGTACTAAAAAAAACTTGAGATCCATTTCCGATTTTACATTGTTTGATTGGAGTTCCCACGTTTCGGAAATATCCACATTGAGAACCATCTTCAGACTTCTCGCATAATAAAACAACCCTTTTTTCGTGCGTTTCAGACAGCGTTCAGCTACATAGCATCTAACGGCACCATCGATCTGTTGGAGCAGATACTGAAATTGCCAGGTTTGGATCCCAACAAGTCGGACAATGAGGGAAACAGCCCCCTACATTTTGCAGCTCAGGCAGGTAAGTGCTTTCTTTATCGTCCTCAGCCGAAATTGTTTTGATTTTCTCTTATATTTCTCACCCCACACTCCATTTTCCGCCGCCGAGAATCTTGCCCCGATAATGGACAAGAAGGTTTAGCGGTTGGTTTTTCTGTGGAATAGGGTGCGGAAAATTTCGGGACATTATCTTGCAATCCTGACATTTCCTATAAGTCGATGAAAATTGAGAGCACGAGAGTACCACTTTTCAACTTTAATTCGGAGTTATAATAGTTCAGTCAATGAACGCCCCAAACTGGGGTATAGAGGACTTCGAAGAGGACATTTTTTTGACACTATGGATATGTTCGGAGTAAATAGGAAGTGAGAATACCAAAAGTCCCCCAACATACGAGGGGAGTCCAGTGCAGAGGGCGCCATAAAAGGTCCCTTTTTATTAAACATTTTTTCTGTGCCAGGAAGAACTTCATTTCACTTTCCATAAATTACTTTTTTCCCACGGGAAAAAAGTGGGTGATTTTTTCCCGGATATATAATATGCACTGTTGATGGTATTTATTGTGCTATAGTTCCAAATAAGCCAATAACAATGTCACCGAGAAAGAACTGCAAGTCCGTCTATATCTTCCATTCCACTTCGCGGTTAAGTAAATTTCAAAACAACCACTAAATTGGCTATTTTTTCAAATCGAATCACAGAATTAGTCTGACAGATATTTTATTACTTCAAAAGAATGAGAAAGATTTCTGTAAAAAGATGCCTGCAACGTGGGTGTAGTTCCTGTTAAAAACTTCAAACACGTCGAAAATTTTCTGATTTTAATATAATGTAATATCGTCTCCAGATTGATTCGTCACAGAGAAAAATTTTGTATGTATTAAACACAGGAAAAATATTAGATTTTAACTCACGGTTTTTTGTGTTCCTCCGCCAAAATCTACTACTTCTTTTCCTTGTATCATAAATTACTATTATTCAACTTATGTAATGTATGTACGTATGATTGTTCGGGTGGAATCTTTGAACTCAATTTTGAAGTAGATATCTTCAACTGATAGAGCGAAAATTCGGTATACAGGTTTAGTTTAGATGACAATGCACGATAAGGTTTGTGACGTTATTCTAAATCCAATATGACGGAGCATCCAAAATGACGGAATAAAGTTATTTTTAATGCACTTCTACAATATGGGTATCAAATGAGAGGGATTGTTGAAAGAAACTCGAAAAATAATAAGACGTCCTTCTGAATCCAATATGGCGGACCATCCAAGATAGCGGAATAGGTATTTTTCATGCACTTCTACAATATGGGCACTGAATGGATGGGCTTGTTGGTAGTAACTCGAAAAATAATGTGCTGTCATTCTAAATCTAATATGGCGAACCACCCAAGATTGCGGAATAGTTATTTTTAATCTACTTCCACAATTTGGGTATCAAATGAAAGGGCTAGTTGAGAGCAACTCCGAAAATAAACGGACGTCATCCTAAATACAATTTAACGGACCATCCAAGATGGCGGTATAGTTATTATTTGTTCACTTCTGCAATATGGGTGTCAAAGGAAAGGACTTGCCGAGAATAATTAGAAATAATGTGACATCATTCTAAATCTAATATGGGGCACTATTGATTTTTTTGTGCTTTCTTATAAAATGGAAGGTTTCGCTGAGAATAAAAATGCAGGTTAAAAAAAAAACAATTTTCATTGATTGGTGATCTTTGACTTGTGTAATTTGGTGAGATGGGCATCATCAGCATTGGTCTGCAACTTGTCACTATTACAAATACACATTTTCGGGATTTTTCAATCATATTTTTATAATGATCAGGCATATTCTTCGATTTGCAATATTTCATCTCGAAAATGAAAAGAACATATTCTGTGAATTTATTGCGGAAATATTCAATGTTGAATTTTGTGCAAAAATGTGCTTTCTGCTATTCAATTGATCAGTTTATCATCGTTTGTGAAGTTCAGTTCTCACAATGTGGATAATCATTCCGGATAGTGTAGCAAACAATTTTGTTGACAATGATCGACAAAAAAAAAATGACCGTTTTCGACATGAACACTCTTTCGATTGATTTCGTTTTGATCCATAGGACATCGATTTTAAAACGGCACCGCTGCTCCGATTTCAAGTGTTTCGAAATTTCAATAATTACCTCTGTTTTAAAAATTCCTGCATTTTCCTGCAGCAGATGATATTTATCATATTCTGATGAAATATTTCATGGTTGCTTTGGAAAAGGAAAATGAACTCGTGTTTTCCATTCTACTCTGAATTTGTTCACCTGACACTTCCTATTTTCCTCTCCAATTTTCTTTCAATACCTTACATCCTCCAAAAGCCAATTTGCGCGTTCTAAGAAAACCGGAACCCAATAAAAAGTTATTCAACAAATAGTAAACTTGTCTACTAACAAGTGAGAACAGATCAGTCGTACGAAACAGATTTTACACATGGTGTTCAAGAAAAAAATGCTGCAAAGTGCCAGGAAAGTAATGAAATCAACAATTCATTTTCTTGAATTTCATCGGAAGATTTCTTATTCTATCTATATCTATTGCACAATTTCGAATTGATACCTGAAAAAATATTTGTATCAAGAGATAATGTCGCACACTGAAGAAATTTTTCATGTCTTTAACATAATTTGACTATAACGACATTATGAATCATTCCAACAATACTACTACTATATACAGTAACTATGTATGGCAAGAGCTTCTAACAAAATTCGGGAATTATATTATAGTAAAACAGTTAGAAGCCTACTCGATGACTACTATAATTATGTCTTCCTTGTAAACTTCGTCATTGGTAAATCCTCCAGTAATTAATTGCCTCAAACTCAAAGTCAATAACGTAGAAACCAACTAAGGGTGAATGCTAATTTACTATAGTGATATAAATGCCAGTAATTCATGGAACTCGATAATACTCAATGAGAGGAAAGAGTATCATGAAATTGACTATATCAAGAAAATCATAATGGGCCCATGAATTATTTGAAATACTATTTCAGTCCAATGGACACTTCGACGTTGAATGGGTAAAAATACCTTCTAATAACATATACAGCGTGTCGAACATCCCCTCCTTTATATCTCAGCTTGAAATAACCATCAATATGATCAGTTTTTCAGAGACGAACCTCATTTCAGACAGTGTCGTGCGTTCATATTGAAATGAAAAGGGGTAATTTTCTCATAGTCATGTTAGGAATTATTTTTACAGGAACGCTCTAACCTCATGATATTATTCTTCATGGTTTCAATCTCCCAGTTAATTTGAATTCATAATTTTTTCGTGGCTGGAAATGAATAAAAATAAGCCAATCTTGTTCACAATCACATCCTATTGAATAGTAATATTCTTTTTAAAAATAAATAAATCGATAAAATGACCAATGTTTTGATAAAACATTAGCGTAAGTCGCTTTTTTCTTCATCATCACTTTTTTTGACATGGATTCGATGGTGGAAGAATCTTCGTTCGAACTTTCCTTGGAAGTGCTCCATCTAAATTTGACCTTATTCTGTTTCTTGTTTATACGGAAGCAATAGAAACACTAATATGACGTTATTTTTCTTGCAAAAAATTCCTAAAATTATCATGATTTCATGAAAATCGACCCTTTTTTCAATAAAATCTCATTGAAAAAGCACTGGCACTGTCCAAAAAGATGAAGAAGAAAAACTAATCATATTATGGGGGTTAAAGTGAGATATGGAGTTAACAATAAAAGTATAAGTAGAATTTTTCGCCGATATCCGCAAATCTCATATTTCTTTCGTAAAATCTATCCTAAATACTGCTTCGTGGGGTACATTTCGACATATACATAATCAGGTTTCTCTCTCTTCTATATATTCAGATCACGAGAACAGTAGGGGGTGAATCACCAGAAATCTCGACTCCAGTTGATTTGCATGAAATTAGTATACAGATGGTACATTCCCTGAATTGTACTATCAAAATTCTTACCTTAATTGGAGATTTACTTGATCCATCATTCAATGTATTCGTCGTGCTCTAAACATAGTTGGAAATACTCCTGGAACCGGGATTTTCGAACTGTTGATGACCTGCAAATGAATAGGTCCACATGAAATAACCAGTTGAGTAAGTATACGAGTCCAAAACGAAGATTTGGCATAATTTTATCGGAACAATTCCATATTCCATCATTCAAAAGTAAACTTCGAACCACCTACCATTTTTTTTCTCAGAGATCTTTATTCTTTATGGTATTCATTATGATGACTTGATAACCTGTCCATTCCCTATATTTCTGTCAAATTCATGAGTCCAGACATGAATATTATACCACGTGACTAAAATTGACCCATTTGATAGCGCGAGTGGTTTTGTTTCATGATTCTAGGCATTCTGAATCATTAGGACAGGACGAAATTCTTACAGTCTACTCCACCAAAACTATACTTTATTGTAAGGTCAACTTACGGGATATGTTTCGAAGCTTCAAAGCTTCATCACTTTCACCAGTTTTCAGTTACAAAGGAGCACTGAAGTAAGGGAAAAATAAGGAGGAATGTCAGACGAACACTTCAACAACGACAGTTTAAAAAGACTAACTTGTTCTGGAGGAAAAATTCTGTTCACATATAATAACAAAAATTTTAAAAAATTATTGCGGATCACCTATGTTAGGAGACTGTAGGGAGCCATAGAAAAATATAATTATAGAAATCTCTCATTATTTTTCTCTTATTTTTTCTTTATTATTATATTTTTGTAGTGATTCTGTTGCGATTTTTCCTTTGACACTCCTTAAGAAAAATAGTTGAAGTTCTATTATTTATTTCCAAAGTTTGTTAAATTATGAAATTGTTATAACTTTCGACACTTTTTAACAAATTCACTTATGTTCTTTTAACGAAATCTGCCAAACTATTGGTAGGACTTCTGGAACAATAAATTTATGTATAATTTAAGTATAATTTAAGTATAAAAAGAATTTGGCTTGATATGATCCTTACTTTTTCATATTTTCTATAGGTCGCATGCACAAAATTAACCTCACTTTTTTTATTTGCCCACATAGGATTTAAATAGTTGTTTACCATGATTTTGGCAAAGTTTCTTGGGAAATTTATTCATTCAAGCATGTCATTACATTGAAGCAATTGTACAATGCACAAAAAATGAGGAAGAGACGAAGTAATGAAGATTTTTCAGCCTACTATAGTTACTCACATATAGTTTTCATTTTGAAATTTGGTGATTTCTGTGATTTCTCATCGGAATTCCTCCTGCAATAGGAGCTAATAAAAATACTAGTGAAATTTCTAACAGAATGCAAGAAGATTGGATTCATGCAATAAAACGGGAGGACTGGTCTGACATGCTGACGAAATATGATCGTGTGTGTTGTAGACATTTTCAATCTATTAGCAGTATCAGCTTCTATTGCCAAAGTTGCAGAAGAAGTTTTAATAAGAAATGACGAAAATTCATAATGCAAACCATGTGAGATTACTATTTACCTAAAAAATCATATTCATTCCTCCGTCTCTCGCTGCATTTTTTGTGTATTGTAGAGAGGCATGCTTGAATTAATGAATAGCGTATGCCTATATATTGTGAAAAACTATTTCAATCCTTTGATTCCTCTGTAAACAAATAAAAAGAGTGAGTTTGTGTTTCTATGTTTTACAGAAAAGTGAGGTTGTGTTCCAATATTTTACGTCCAGAGTCGGTCATCGTGCACGCGACTCATACATAATCCTATGTAAACAAATAATAAAAGTGAGGTTAGTGATATAGTGAGTCGGTCATCTGACATTTTGTGCACGCGATCTATCGTTTCCGCTTCACAAGTAACAGCAACTTTCAGTAACAACCGTTACATCCCTAATTAACATCCTCTGTATAAAAATATTCTCCTAATTTCGCCGTGTCTCGTGCATCTACCGACATTTCCTTTGTCCTTTTCACTTTGCGTCTAATGCGATGTCGTTTCGTTTTTTCTTTCCAGGTCAAATTGAATGTCTGAATTGCATGCTCAGCAGATGCAGAGGAGTAGAAATAGACGCCAGGAACAACTTGGGATTCACGCCCCTCATGAAAGCTGCCCTGCAAGGCAGGAATAAATGTGCCAAACTTTTGCTTTTCGCAGGTAAGAATACGGGCATTCATCGGGGTTCTACCTTACACCATTTAGATTCGCCTATATACAGGGTATATTGTTGACCTGCAGAACATCTCTTTCCAAAGATTCGTTCATCCAACTAACAGCGAGGCTCTGGAACACATTGCCCAGGGAGGTGTTCAACGAGGCATATAACCTCCAGAAATTTGAGAAGAATACCAATTCCTACCTCATTTCTCTTGGTTCTCATGATGTTCTCTGAACATTACAGGATATACCTTTTCGTGGGAACCAGAACATAAAATAAAACATGAATATCGATAAATTCACCTACTGTCATGCCACTGGAAATATTATTTCGAATCTAATTTCACTAAAAGAAGCTTCATATTATTATGAACAACACCACAATGTTTTATTGAAATTGACAATTGACAAAAAGACAATTGAGATATGAATTGAAAAATTATTTTTCATGGAAATATTAATACCCTGTATCTCGAAAACAAAGCAAGTTAGGACACATGTTTATATGAACTTTATTTCCTAAAATATCACAAGGAATAACGCCTCGAATTTTTTCGGTGTTATTTAGATACATCCTGTATATATTATTAAGTGTTGCTAGCCAAGAGAAACATAATGTCTGGGTCTGATAAATTCTTGATTGGTAGAAATTGGTTTCGGTCCTTCATCATAATGACAGATCATTTGGAATATCGACGGAAAGATAAGAAGAAGGAAATAACGTTGATAGACTCATAAAAAATACCATATTATCGAGACAACATGAACATTATTATTGATGGGATGACGAAGGGACGATATAAATGGACATACTGCACAAAAAAAAAGGGTAATTTTTTCTTCATTGAGAATGGTTTTCACTTGTCAGTGATAAGTTCTTGATGTAATCTTGAATCAGAATATTGTATATCCTGTTGAAAAGTTTATGAGCCACACTGATGGCAAAAGTGTCGAAACAATTTTCCTTCCGCACGCATGACAAAAATAATGATATAGTGCTTATTGGAACATGATGGATAATGGTATTTCGATATATATAGTTTCACAAATATACCCACCCTATATTTAGGTGTCGTTTTATATACACTACGATGTTTTACCACTATAACCAAGCCTCGACACGTGTTTCGCTAACTATGTTAGCATCTTCAGGAGAAGATTAAGACTGTTCAATCTTCTCCTGAAGATGCTAACAAAGTAAGCTCTATTTATTAACCAAGATAACCTCCTACGTTTGGGAAAGAACATCAGCCAAAATCCTTTTACCTACCCTAACCTGCAGCTGATTATCAAACCTCACATTGAAATTCACCACCAAATCGCCCCTTCTATAAGGGTCCTTGTTCACCGCTAACGTACGGCTACCCTCTGGCCCAATCACCTCGCTGGTATAGTCCAATGTGACGTAATCACCTCCTAAAAGAGAAAAGTCCACATAGACACCGCAAAAATACCCACTCTATATCTTGATTCGTTTTTACGTATAATTCGAAGTCCACCCCAAGTACCTCAACTCTCCATATGCTCAGAGATGAACTCAATTGTTGAAATCAAACCATAAGTAGGTATTCCATCGCAATTTTTATTAACCGAGATATTATTTCATCTTATGATATACAACACGTATGCAACCTCCTAAGATTAGGGAAGCACATCATTCAAAATCCTCTTAGCGCTATCCTGCAGCTAATTATTAAACCTCACATTGAAATCCATCATCAAATCGCCCCTTCTGGAGGTTCCCTTGGGATACGGCAAACCTTCCCCGCTAACCTACGGCTACTCTCTTGGCCCAATCACCTCGCTGGTATGGTCCAATGTGACGTAATCACTCCCTAAAAGAGACAAGTCCACACAGACACTGCAAAATACCCACTCTATATCTTGATTCGTTTCTACATCTTAAGATGACTTTAACGTCAATTTCCATCAAGGGACCCTAACCCAAAGTAACTCAACGCCGCATATGCTCAGAGAAAAACTGAATTGTTGAAATCAAACCAGGTAGGTATTCCATCGCTATTTTAATTTACCAAGATATTCCATCTTAAGATATATAAAACGCATGCAAACTCCTACGTTTGGGAAAAAACATCAGCCAAAATCCTTTTACCTACCCTAACCTGCAGCTGATTATCAAATCTTACATTGAAATTCACCACCAAATCGCCCCTTCTATAAGGGTCCTTGGGAAAAGGCAAACCTTTTACCGCTAACGTACGGCTACCCTCTGGTCCAATCACCTGACTGGTATAGTTTAATGTGACGTAATCCCCACCTAAAAGAGACAAGTCGCATAGACACCGCAAAAATACCCACTCTATATCTAGATTCGTTTTTACGTATAATTTGGAGCCCACCTCAAGTACCTCAACTCTCCATATGCTGAGAGAAAAACTGCATTGTTGAAATCAAACCAAGTAGGTATTCCATCGCTATTTTTATTAACCAGGATATTTCATCTTAACATACACAAAACGCATGCAACCTCCTAAGTTTGGGGAAGCACATCAGCCAGAATCTTCTTAGTCCTATCCGGCAGCTGATTAGGAAACCTCACATTGAAATCCACCACCAAATCGCCTCTTTTTGAGGATTCCTTGGGATACGGTAAACCTTTTCCCGCCAACCTACGGCTGCTTTCTGGCCCGATCACCTCGCTGGTATAGTCTAAAGTAACATAACCACCACCTAAAAGAGGCACGTCCACATAGACACCGCACAAGGCTTCTCTCAGGCTGACGCTAGCCGTAAACCTGATATCGCTGCCGCATCTCTTGAAAATATCATGTGGCTTATCCTTGATGATGAAGACTATGTCTGCTGGTATTCTGTCAGGACCTTGGTCACCTTCTTTCCGGAATGAAACTCTGGTGCCAGCTCTCCAGCCTGGCTGGACGTTGATCGTCAGCATTTTGTCTTCTCTTTCCAGCCGGCCGTTCTTCAAGACTTTTCTGTTTATCTTCATGGTCTTCGTACATCCTAGAAGAGCATAATTTCATCATCTATAACATTTGACGATGTGAAAATCTGTAGTAGACTTGTGAGATACCACATATACCATCAAATAGAATAACCCTTCAGAAATGTCCCAGAAATGATTTCAAAAGACATGGTTGGTAATCTGTGAAAGGGCCTGATCCCAGAATATCTATTATTGAGTACAGCAGAGGACATGGACGTCACAAAAGGATACCGGGCTTTGTGAAGGATATATTCAATTGTTCAATGGAAGGTTGAATCTCGTCCTAGATATAACATCACATTCCTTCCTTGTTCTTCAAGGTGCACTGAGGAATGTTCCTGAATATAACTGTATCAGAATATCATAGGAAGCCAATCAATACCGAGTATAGATTTTCCTGAGGCTGACAAGATCTTCATTAACACCGTTGACCTGCTTTGGTCGTGAGTTTCTAGTTTCTTGAGAATTCTGAAAGTGAACACAGAATGGATAGTCATCCGCAAAGGTATGGATAGGGCAGATGGTAACACCCAACTAGTCACTAATAAGAAGTAGAAACAATGTTGGTGCTTAAATTGATCCTTGTGGGACGCTAACTTGATGGATATTGTATCTGACGAGACTTCAATAGGAGCAGGCATGAATAAAGTGGTATGCCAAATGATGAGAGTTTGTAAAGAAGTCTTTGGTGCCAAGCACGGTGGAATGGTTTCAATATACCCAACACCATAGATAGAAATTCTCCATTTGTTTTCTAGTCAAATATCCGTAACGTAGGCAAGTGAAAATCCAGTTGATTGCGCAAGCCTTATATTGTCACTTATGAAATGAATCCTGAGCTTTCTAGATGTTTCAAAAGCTCGACGTTGATGATTTTATCCATCACTTCGGAAACGACAAACAACGAAATAGACCCATAGTTGTTGGTGAGGTATGTGGTTCTTTCTTTGGGGAATTGCTGGCTATTTACCAGCTCGGTGGGAACAGAGCCGACTTGTGAGATGGTGAGTAACTTGCAGATAATCTTGAGACACCAGATATAGTGCATCCCCAAAACTTTTGAAGAAGTCTTACCTTTAGCGATATCCTCCAAAGCAACATACAAATCGTGTTCGATAGGAGGATCCTGCTTAACACTAGGCGATCTGCGATTCGTAGTCAAGTGGAAGAAATGACTGAATGGATCATTATTCTCGGCAGCATCGTTGAACCCAGCGAAAAAGTCCTGGAACGGATTCGTGTTACCGAAAAACTGCGCGAAAGTGGCTCTCGGATCTCCGTGGAAGGTATACGTGAAGCCTGAGGTTCCGAAATCATTGGTACCACCTCCTGGGACACCGTTCTTGAGGCCCTCTTCGCCGTAGGCATCGAAAACGTCGCGTTTCTTCTTGTCGGAGAGGACCTCGTAGGCTTCGGCGACTTCTTTGAATTTCTCAGCAGCCCCTGGGGCATTGTTCTTATCGGGGTGGTATTTCAGTGCTAGCTTCCTGTAGGCCTTTTTGACGTCATCGTCGCTGGCGTTTTTCGAGATGCCGAGAATTTTATAATAGTCTTTGCCCATCGCGACAGTGCAGTGACTTGGAATAGGCATTTGCTGTCAATTTGACAGATCCAGATGTTTATGTTTCGATCACATACAGAGTGTCTCAGAATAACGTTCGTATACTTCGGGAGGTAATTCTGCATATCATTATAGGAAATCATTTTCTTATCAACGTGGTCCCAAAATGCTTCCACTGGGCGCTAGAGCCCTTTGCAGGTGGTCCTTTGATGCAGTTTTCTTCAATTATCGTTGTTATTACATTGTTACTTCGTGATGTTATCCAGAGAGATGCTTAATGTCACAGATACGTTGCGGGAATTGGCCTCTGTGCCTCTTTTAAATATTACAATGTAATGTTGATGGTGAATATTATATAAATATATCAGGAATCACATGAAATCAATGTTACTTCATAACGTATATTTAATGTTACTCAATACATCTATACAATATTGTATATTAACATTCTTATTATTTTCTAGGAGTTTCTAGGTTATGTCTATTTTGTCTCAAATCATCAAGACAATCATCTAAATGATCTTCACAAAAGACAGAGAAGATGATCTATCCATGAATAGAAATTGATCTTACCGTACTCCTGAAAGACTATAAGTATGATCCAGTTAAACAGTGATATTTTGAGACAGATTAACTACTATCTTTCTATGTATCATTTTAGTTATTCTGCTTCATAAATCCAGTCATACCTAGCTCAGCTATATGATTTATGCATAATCCTGTGATCTCTTACTGAAATTCTGAAAAGTAATATGTAAATATATACCTACGAGTTTTTGAAAGTTTCCAGACTTATTTTGAAATTTCATTTTATGGTCTTCTTCTAGCTATGATATATAACTCACCGATTCTTTTTGTAATTCGTGAAATATGAACACAATCCGTATTCACGAATCCCTCCTACTTTTTGACATATTATGAAATGCATCAGATACAGATAGGTTGCATTTCCATATTCCAGCAGAGCAAACCTGGAATCTAAGTAGGTATCATGAGCAATACATATTTTCTTTCGAAGTTATTTGAGTCCAAGCTTGTTTAGTTCGTAACATACTTTGATAACTACGAATAAAATCTGAAAATCAATATTTTCACTGTTTGATCTGTTCACCATAATAGACAACACACAAAATGGCTGGAATGAAACTGAATTGACTTTTGACAGTTGACAAGGTGTCTTTACCGTAGAAGGAAAAATATTATCCCCTTGTATCCTCTATACATGTAAGCTGCGTTATAAGGTGGTGAAACCAAAACGTTGCACAAATAACATAACAACTCTGTCTGAGATATATCTGATGAACCTAAAATCAACATATCACAATATTATACAATGATATTGATTACAATGTTGTTGCAACGTCTCATGAACGTTTTACTTCATAATATTATGTTGGATACTTCAGAATGACATTATCGCAATGTTATTTCAACAATACCTATAACAAAACTTATGACTGTCATGTTTTTTTTTTCATTGCTTGGAGCGCACGAAAGGGGACCTCTATAATGTTCAAAGAACATCGTGCGTTCCTAGGGAGGATAAGGACAGGAGGTAGGTATTGGAATTTTTTTTGAACTTTTGGAGATTATAATATGTTGTTGGGAATACTTCCACAGGCAATGAATTCCAGAGCCTAGCCGTTCAATGGATGAAGGAGTCTTGATAAAGTCCTGTTCGACATCTTTCGAGGTTGACAACGAAAGGATGTGCTGACTGGGCTTGTCTAGTTCGTCTGACTGGTCTTCCTAGTGAAGGGATGATAGCAGAGATTTCTGAAGAACATTTCCCGTGGAAGAGTATCGATAGAAAAGTGGGCATTGATCCTAATATCACGAAATTTGGTACCAAAGAGTGATTCGATCTTATAAATCGTTTCGTGGTACGGAAAACATGATTTAATATACAGGGAGGAGCGAAATTCGTAACAGATGCTAAGGCATCGGCTATCTATTTGCAGACTCGGACTCTAATTTCGTTTCGTCCTTGGTACATAAATGACTATTTTGTGATACTTCCCCGAAATCAGTTTGCCAACTCGCATAAGATTGGGGGGATGAACCCTTTCCCCAGCTCCCCCATGGGCCTGTCCCTGATAAGAATTTCCAAGGCACGGTACCTCAAATGGCAGAAAAATTCAAATAATTCATCAGCAATAGATTGAAAATTTCCCGATTTCCTTTTTGTTTCAGGGGCCAATCCGACGCTACGAGACAACGGCAGGGGCTTTCGAGCGGACCAATGGGCGCGCTTCTGTGGTCGGTACGTGTGTGCTGACGTCATCGAGAAGCATGCGCGCCAAAGGCTGTTGGAGAGGTCGACGTCATACGGTCGTTGGGGCGGCGAAAATGAGATGGGGGCACGGGTAATGATGGGCAAGGTGGTACCTGTGCCCGCGGTGCCGCAGCAGCAATCACATAGTGAGTAAAAAAAAATAGGAAGAAAGGACCCCGCACTAAACAATAGGGAAAATGGCTCTCGATGAAAATCGCTGAATTTTTGGTATGTTCTAGACTTTGATATACTGAACAGATCTTCCATTGAACTAACCTCAAAAAAATGACAGTTTTTTCGATATTGACCTCCAAATGTCAGTTTTTCCAGAAAAAAAGTATCTGAAAATGGTTGCATTTTTGGCATGTTGTAGATAGGTATGAACTGATGAAAAAATCCAATTGACGTAACCTCCAAAAATTGACAGTTTTCTCGATATTGACCTCCAAATGAATTTTTTCATGAAAAAAAATCTCTGAAACTGGCTGAATTTCTGGTATGTTGTAGATAGGAATGAACTGATGAAAAAATCCAATTGAACTAACCTCAAAAATTGGAAGGTTTTGTTCACTGTCGCAAACCGTTTTCTTTTCAGATCTCTTTACATATTGTAAATATTTATTGAAATTCACGATATTTTATTACATGAAAATTGCGGTACAACGCGTCATATACCGCGATCAATCCATTGCAATTATACTATACCATACGATTTATGTATTGGTGTATACGTCAGTACTCAACACTCCACTCCTACTATGGAAATAAAACCTCAATTCTATGGAGAATTTGGAAATATTCTCATTGGTCGTCGAGCAATAAAAATTTTTAAAGTGTTCATCGGTATCGGTATGTCAATGTCACGTCATCGCCGGCTATATAGTGTTGCTGAGAGGTGATTATGAATGGATGAGTGTATCGAATACTTTCATTATAGATGGATTAATCAAAATGAAATAGATATATGGCATAAATTCGACTAGTGTGTATACCTACAACCCCATTGATTTCGGAAAGACTATATCTTTTGAATAATATTTATTGCATTACATCCTCTCTTCGGTTTTCTTCACCTGTGGATGTATCATATGAAGAAGATTTGCTTTTAGAAGAATTAAACGCCAAATACTAATTCGAAAACAGCAACTTTGTCTATTGATTATTGTTCCATTCATCTTATTTTCCATACGTACACTTGGAGGTCAATATCGAAAAACTGTCAATTTTTTGAGGTTAGGTCAATTGGATTATTTTATCAGTTCATTCTTATCTACAATATACCAGAAATTAACCCATTTTCAGAGATTTTTTCACTTGAGAAAATTCTATTTGGAGGTCAATATCGAGAAAACTGTCAATTTTTGGAGGTTAGGTCAATTGGATTTTTTCATCAGTTCATTCCTATCTAGAACATGCCAAAAATTCAACCATTTTCAGATACTTTTTTCTTTTCAAAAAAATGACATTTGGAGGTCTATATCGGAAAAACTGTCCATTTTTTGAGGTTCGTTCAGTGGAATATCTGTTCATTAAATCAAAGTCTGCAACATACCAAAAATTCAGCGATTTTCATCGAGAGCCATTTTCCCTATAGTTTAGTGCGGGGTCCTTTAATTTATTTTTTCTACTCACATAACTAAAATGGCATTTATCGTACGGATATGTACCACGCTAAATGATCGATTAATCACGGATTGTCGATCTGTGATTTATTCAAAAAATTAAACACATTACCATGGCAACACGATTTCTTAAACACATCACCATGGCAACGCAGTTCATTAAACACAGCTTCAGTAATTCGAAACATGTCTGGCCTGTCAATTGTATCAACTGTCTACTGTTATTTTCATATTTTGTATCAGAATTATTCAAACAATATTCGTTTGTATCGGAATTCTTCATTAAAAATATATGCGAAAAGTAGACCAGAGTGAAATACTTACATACCTCCAAGAAGTGTAAAAATGAAGCATCCATCTTTGAGAACAATTTATTTATTCAGCGCTAAGCATGACAATAAACGTGAAACAAAGGTTAGTAAGCAATGGACTGGACAGATCTACAACCAATATCACTTATACGTGTCTCGCTGGTTGCATGCAGTTGTATGTATTATGTTTTCAATTCCCATTCCTTTCGAATTATTTTGTAGGTTAGCAGGAATAGCAGGTATGTTAATTAATGTAATTTTTGGAGTTCGTAGAGAAATCATAGTATGTAACGCGTTTATAAACTCTTCTAGACACTCGTTTATTAAACACTCGCTCCGCTCTGCTCCGCTCGTGCTTAAACTACTCGTTACTAAAAGGACGTTTATAACACTTGTTACATAATATACTATATTTAATCTATTCAATTTTCGTATAGAAATACATTCCTAACATTATGTACAGGTGAGAATTTTCTAAAATTAATAATAACTATAGTTGTACACCTATAGGTCCAAGGACCTGTATGTGTACAGATCAATCTATATCACTATCATTATTACTGTTTGTGACAAAGATAAGAAGGCTCACTTAGCTAAAACTGTTTGAAATAGCAAAAACAAAGGCGGCCCGCCACCCTTCTTCGGTGCCTCGTTGAGCGGCAAGTCGCTTTGTGTATACGAGGACTGCGTTTATATAGGGATTGGTCAAAAAAGTAGGTAATCAGATAAATCATTACTTTATTCAACTCATTTATTATCACGGAACTGAATAAGCAAAAGGAAAAAAACGTGTTGTAGAAAGACAATGTTAAAATAAAAACGACTTCGACACTAAATAAATTAACTAACAAAATCTACCAATATAACAAAGGAAACAGGTGAACATTAAATATCCTATGGGTTGAAACCGATAGTTTTGGTGAATGAAGAGATTAATCATCATAGGTTCTGCAATATAGATAACTTTATATTTGGCTTTTCAATTTTTTTGTCTTTAATTTCACGATTTATAGATTTAATCGTAAAATAAATACGAACTCTAGTGTAGAGAGATACAAAATACTCGAATGGAAAATTTTCACACGGATGTGTGAATTGTATATTTTCAAACAAACCTTTGAGGGTTGCACCAATATTTTGTAGGTTAGCTATTTCATTGAAATTTTGAATGAAGATGTTCTCTAATCGTGTGACATATTCTACAATATCTGCATGAGGTACATTCAAGCCACCAATTCCTTTGTTATTATAAGCTTTTGCCTCAAAAAAGCGGGTCGCTTCCTTTTTTAAAGAATTTTGTTTGTTATATTCCAGACATATATCACATGAATGTTGCAACAAACATTTTTTCAATAAATAGCCTGTGACATACACCAATGCATTACCACCAGTACTGGACAAATTTCTGTAATCGCTCGTAAATACCTTCAAGGGATTGTGTGATACTGGGATGGATAATTTATTACAGTTTTCTAGCAATTCGGGAGTAATGTTCATCAAAACTTCATTCATATCGTTTATGCAGTTTGCTCCGTCGACTTGATCAAAGAATTTTAAGGCAAATAATTTTCTGAAGGCTCTTGAAAACTGTATTGGTGTTGGATTTCTTGCATTGCCGCAACAGTTTCTAACTTGGCCAAAATAGTTCTCGATACAATCCTGATTGAGGTTTCTGGTTAATAGAAAATTATAACCCCTAGATTTCAAGGTCTCCCATAAAGCTTTAACCGACTTGATTGTTAACTTCCATCCATAAATGAAATGCAATTTGTTGTTCAAACAAATTTCTTGATTGTCAACAATCTTTATAACTTTCAAATTGCTTAACATAGTTTCAATTTCTTCTAGAAATTGGAATTGTTTCTCTGTGCCCATGAATGCGTTGAAATTATTCAAATGGCAGGAATTTAATAGATCGAATAAATCATTCATTATTTTTATGAATTTTGCAGTTACTTTTGCTTCTGGTGGTAAAACTTCAAAATCTACGTAGGTATAAAGAGCAGCAGCCACAGAATGACTGAAGACTTGCGAGGCATATTTCACTTTCATTTTTTGAAAATTACTGGGATTCAAATGTTCATTAGTTAATTTGGGACAAAGCTTGTATTGTTTTAGCTTGTCATAATTATAAAAAGTGTCCAGATAAGTTTTCTTTATCACTCCCTCTGGCAACCGATAATTGTAGGAGAATAAATTATTCCTGGTAGATTTTAATAGGTGAGGCACATCAAAAATATAAACGAGTTTCATACCATCTATGTCGAAGAAAATATTTTCTTCAGTTACTTTAAGGTGTGTTTTGACCAATTTTCGAAAATTAGACCCTTGATCTGAAACTACTCCTAACACATTGAATCCAATCGCATTCAACCTCCTGACACTCTCAAATAAAATATCTTTGATTTCGTTTGAAGGAGCCGTGGAGTTATAGAAAAAATAGGCAATGGATTGTTTCCAGTTGCTGGCTATTCCTCGCACCATCACTACAAGGGCAGTACTTGCTACTTTCATACTCTTTGTATTGTATGAATCATGAAAACCGACTATTCGGTCCTTAGATATGTCATAAAATAAATTAGATTTTATCGATATTTCATCTAAGCAAATTATACAATCTTTTTCTTTTTCTTTGAGAATTCGGGTCCTAAGTTCGAGTAAGCCAAAAATCAAGTCGTTGAAGCCAGGATTTATTACCCATCCTTTGGTGTAACGAGTTAGTGTACTTTTTGAGGGTAATCTGTATACTGTTGAAATTTTTTTGTACGCCTTAGGGCCCAGAAAATAAACGCTCAAAGCAAATTGCTTGAACTCGTCAGTGTATCGACAACCTTTCGGAGATTTGTTTAACAAATTCAATTGATATCTCAAATGTTTACATGATTGTTCAGAATAGTTTTCCTCAAAAAATCTGTTGATGTCTTCAATAGTAATTCCTACTTCAGTTTTCTTCTGACATTCAGTAGACCTAATAGTTTTTTTAAGAGCTTGTATGTCCTGCTTCAATTTTTTTTTCCGTGGAGTATCTGCGGACAGCGCCAAAGTTGTCTGAGTGGATTTACCTAAAGAAAAAATATACATTGTTCACTCATATATTTGCATACATCTATATAAGGCTTAAATTACCTTCGAACGCTTTTTCTCCCGCATCATCCAAATCTGTTTGAATAGAAACATCCCTGTAGCTTTCTGAAATTATTTCCAATGTATACT